CAAAACTCTTCAGAGTATAGGGATAGAGGGTACATACCTCAATATCATAAAAGCCATCTATGAAAAACCTACAGCAAATATCATTCTCAATGGGGAAAAGCTGAGAGCTTTCCCCCTAAGGTCAGGAACGCGGCAGGGATGTCCACTATCACCACTGCTATTCAACATAGTATTAGAAGTCCTAGCCACAGCAATCAGACAACAAAAAGAAATCAGGGCGCCTGGGTGGCTCAGTTGGTTAAGCGACTGCCTTCGGCTCAGGTCATGGTCCTGGAGTCCCGGGATCGAGTCCCACATCGGGCTCCCTGCTCAGCAGGGAGTCTGCTTCTCCCTCTGACCCTCTTCCCTCTCGTGCTCTCTATCTCTCATTCTCTCTCTCTCAAATAAATAAATAAAATCTTTAAAAAAAAAAAAAAAGAAATCAAAGGCATCCAAATCGGCAAAGAGGAAGTCAAACTCTCACTCTTTGCAGATGATATGATACTGTATGTGGAAAACCCCAAAGACTCCACCCCAAAACTGCTAGAAACTCATACAGGAATTCAGTCAAGTAGCAGGATATAAAATCAGTGCACAGAAATCAGTGGCATTCCTATACACCAACAACAAGACAGAAGAGAGACAAATCAAGGAGTCGATCCCATTTACAATTGCACCCCAAACCATAAGATACCTAGGAATAAATTTAACCAAAGAGGCAAAGGATCAGCACTCAGAAAACTATAAAATACTCATGAAAGAAATTGAAGAAGTCACAAAGAAATGGAAAAACGTTCCATGCTCATGGATTGGAAGAACAAACATTGTGAAGATGTCAATGCTCCCTAGAGCAATCTACACATTCAATGCAATCCCCATCAAAATACCATCCACTTTTTTCAAAGAAATGGAACAAATGATCCTAAAATTTGTATGGAACCAGAAGAGACCCCGAATAGCCAGAGGAATATCGAAAAAGAAAAGCAAAGCTGGCGGCATCACAATTCCAGACTTCCAGCTCTATTACAAAGCTGTCATCATCAAGACAATATGGTACTGGCACAAAAACAGACACATAGATCAATGGAACAGAATCGAGAGCCCAGAAATGGACCCTCAACTCTATGGTCAACTAATCTTTGACAAAGCAGGAAAGAATGTCCAATGGAAAAAAGACGGTCTCGTTAACAAATGGTGTTGGGGAAATCGGACAGCCACATGCAGAAGAATGAAACTGGACCATTTCCTTACACCACACACAAAAATAGACTCCAAATGGTTGAAGGACCTAAACGTGAGACAGGAGTCCATCAAAATCCTAAAGGAGAACACAGGTAGCAACCTCTTCGACCTCAGCTGCAGCAACTTCTTCCTAGAAACATCGCCAAAGGCAAGGGAAGCAAGGGCAAAAATGAACTATTGGGATTTCATCAAGATAAAAAGCTTTTGCACAGCAAAAGAAACAGTCCACAAAACCAAAAGACAACCGACAGAATGGGAGAAAATATTTGCAAATGACATATCAGATAAAGGGCTAGTATCCAAAATCTATAAAGAACTTATCAAACTCAACACCCAAATAATAATCCAATCAAGAAATGGGCAGAAGACATAAACAGACATTTTTCCAAAGAAAACTTCCAAATGGCCAACAGACACATGAAAAGGTGCTCAACATTGCTTGGCATCAGGGAAATCCAAATCAAAACGTCAGTGAGATACCACCTCACACCAGTCAGAATGGCTAAAATTAACAAGTCAGGAAATGGCAGATGTTGGCGGGGATGCGGAGAAAGGGGAACCCCCCTCCTACACTGTTGGTGGGAATGCAAGCTGGTGCAACCACTCTGGAAAACAGTATGGAGGTTCCTCAAACAGTTGAAAATAGAGCTAGCATACAATCCAGCAATTGCACTACTGGGCATTTACCCCAAAGATACAAATGTAGGGATCCGAAGGGGTACGTGCACCCCGATGTTTATAGCAGCAATGTCCACAATAGCCAAACTGTGGAAAGAGCCAAGATGCCCATCGACAGATGAACGGATAAAGAAGATGTGGTATATATACACAATGGAATGTTATGCAGCCATCAAAAGGAATGAGATCCTGCCATTCGCAACGACATGGATGGATCTGGAGGGTGTTATGCTGAGTGAAATAAGTCAATCAGAGAAAGACATGTATCATATGACCTCACTGATAGGAGGAATTCTTAATCTCAGGAAACCAACTGAGGGTTGCTGGAGTGGTGGGCAGTGGGAGGGATGGGGTGGGTGGGTAATAGACATTGGGGAGGGTATGTGCTATGATAAGCGCTGTGAATTGGGCAAGACTTGAATCACAGATCTGTACTTCTGAAACAAATAATGCAATATATGTTAAAAAAAAGAAGAAGAAGAAGAAGATAGCAGGAGGGGAAGAATGAAGGGGAGTAAGTCGGAGGGGGAGACGAACCATGAGAGACGATGGACTCTGAAAAACAAACTGAGGGTTCTAAAGGGGAGGGGGGTGGGGGTATGGGTTAGCCTGGTGATGGGTATTAAAGAGGGCACATTCTGTGTGGAGCACTGGGTGTTATGCACAAACAATGAATCATGGAACACTACATCAAAAACTAATGATGTAATGTATGGTGATTAACATAATAATAAAAAAATTTTTAAAAATTTAAAAAAAGCATTAGATAGGGAAAAAAATCGACAAGACCAAGTATTAGCAATAATGTGGAGTAACTGTAACTCATACAATTGCTAGAAGGTATTCTACTACCATGGAGATCAGTATGGCAATTTCTTAGAAAGCTGAACATAAATTTACCATAAGACCCAGCAATCCCACTAGTAGGTATCTTTCCAAAGTAAATGAATATATGTGTTCACAAAAATATTTGTGCATGAATATTCGTAGCAGCTTTATTCATAATAGCTAAAAATTGGAAACAATCCTAATGTCCATCAACCAATCCATGGAGGGATAAACAAAGTTTGGTGCCTGTTCTTAAAGTTGCATTGATTAAAGGGGGAAAAGAAATATATAGGCAAAAAATATAAGTGAAAATTTGATTTGGAGTTTAGGGGTATTATATTAGAGAAGGTGCTTTCTGAGGACTAAGTGTGCTCTTGGTCAGTTTTCAGAATATTAATGCAAGTGATTGTGCTGCTTTTAAATTCTACCCCAGCAGCCTGGTTGATTTGGTGGAATAGAGCAAGTGTTGATTTAGGAATCTGATAGCTACAGTTTTCTGTCTCATACTAACTTTGTGACTTTAGGCAAATATCCTAACTTTTCTGAGGCTCAGTTTCTTTGTGTGTTTTTTTTAAGTCATAATAACTTTACAGAAGATTGAGATATAGTATATGAAAGCACCCATCCCATTACATGGCTTGGTAGATACTCATTAAATTCAGTTTTCTTTCCTTCCCTGAGTGAAAGAGAGATTAGAGAGGTTAAGAGATCAGATCAAAATGATGGGTTTGGAGGAGAATACTTTTAAATCTTTAAGTTTCTGTTCTAATGCTGTCAGTAGAGTTTAACATCTGAGTACTCTAAAAGAGCATTGTACCATTTGAAGAATACTCATTTTTTCGCGTTTTTATGATGTGGGGAGGGAGGATAGAAATACAACTGTAATAAAAATCATGGGAAATTGTTGATTTCCTATGCTCTGTTTCACAATTAAGAATTTCATATTCTGTTCTTGAATCTCATTGTGATCTCTGTAATTTGTACCTCGTTTTACAGCTGACGGAAATGTTGAACCCAATAAACTAATGAATAAGTGAAAGCTGTTACATGTGAGAAGTTGATGTAAAACTGAGATACTATGCTTTCAAAACATATTTTTGCAACAGACTAATTTTGTGATGATAAAAACCATGCAAAATCTCAGAAAAAACTCTAGTTCTAGAGTAAGAACGAAAATGTCTTCCATTTTCTGAATCCATATACAGTGCAAAGCACTTGATTAGATTGATTCCAAGACCATCTTTCACATCTGGGAATGTTCAGAAAGCACAACTAAAAGATGGAAAAGGAAATGAATGAAAGTGCACTGTATATCCTTCCCACATTTCCCATTCATTCCTGTATTCTGACACAGCCCCATAATACTACTGAAACTTCTCTCACGGCACCAGTAACTTGCCATTTGCCTGTTGCATTAGACATTATTCACTTTTTATTGGCGCTTTCTACTGTCTTTTATATTCGTGATAATACTAACCTTCTTCAAATTATGCTCTTTTGGCTTTTCTGTGTTGTTCTCTCTGACCTGGATCTGCTCATTCTCTGATTTCCATTTTACATACTCTCTCTGGATAATCTCATCTCTCTCTCTGTGGTTCGATCTGTCATCTATATGCTTGTGACTGTAAGTCTGTATTTCTTGTATAGTCTTCAGACTGGTATATCCAAATGCCTGCTAGACAGTTCCACTTGGATATTCCATGGGAGGCTTCTTTTTTCTCAACACATTTAAAACTGAATTCACTATTTTCCCACCTAGTCTCCTGGTCCTGTATTCTCAATCTCATTTGTGCTGTCATTGTCCATCTAGTTACCTAAGCTAGATATATGGGATTCATTTTTGAGTCCCTCATTTCCTATCACCCATTATCTGGATTATCACCTAATTTTGTAAGTTTTACATTTATAGAAACCTAAATTTAAAAATCACCACACACAGTTGAGTAGATGGATAGATTTGTGACAAACCAAGTAGAGTAAAATGTTAAATAGTAGAATCTAGATGGTGGACATAAGGGTGTTTATTGCACAATTCTTTCAACTTTGCTCTATGTTTACAAATTTTCATAATAAAACATTGAAAAAAATCCCACATATAAATCCATCAATGTCTCTCTGTCCCTGCTACCACTGCCATATTTTAGGTCAATCTCAGAAAACTAAGAATTATGCAATTAAAATGAGCCCAAATAATGATATGGAATGATGGAATTTAGCTCGTTTCTGGTTTATTGTTTTATAATTTTTGAATGAATCTGCTTTGTATCTCAGTTATGCCTTATTTTATAGCTAAAGGGAAGACTGATCTGAAAACACTGATGGATACAGTGCAAGATATTACAGGTCAGTGAGAAGTTACTGTAAATTTGAGATCCCAATTCTTTAAACTATATTTTTTCTATGATAAATATTTTACTGAAGTATGAAATACATTATTACTATATCATATAATCATGTGAGTCCAGCTTAAGAATTACTGCAAAGTGAACATATCTATTTAACTATCACCTGGTTAAGAAATAAACATTATCAATAATCCAGAAGATCTCCTATACCACTTCACAGTCACTTCCTCCATACTCTCTGGTGGTAACTGCATCCTTTAGTCTAGGACCACAGATTAGTTTCACCTCTTTTTGAAATTTGTGTAAATGGAACCATATGATTTGTGTTCCATGATGTCTGACTTCTTTAACATTATAGTACATGTTATTCTCTGAGATTCATCCATATTGTTGCATGTAGCAGCAGTTTGTTAATTTTCATTGCTTCGTGTTATAAAATCTACTAAATTATCGTCAAAGAGATCTTTAGAGAACCTGCCGTAGTGGCTGAAATGATTTCTAACTAACTCATTGTACCTGAATACATTGCTGTGCAATATTCCACTGTATAAGTATACCACAATATACCTCTCCAATCTACCATCACAGCACATTTCCAGGTTGGAGCAGTTATGAAGAACATATTGCTATGAATATTCTGTATATGCCTTTTGGTGAACATATGTGCATAATTCTAGGCCATATACCTAGAAATGAAATTGCTTTGTTATAGAATAGGATTGTGTATACTTTGTTAGATATTGTCAATCCATTTTCTAAAGTAGTTGTACCATTTTATACATCAACCAACAGTATATGAGTTTCAATTGCTTTACATCCTTGCTAATACTTCTCTCTTCTCCATTTTAGCCATTTTGGTGTGCATGCTGTAGAATCCCACTGTTACAGTTTGCATATCCCTAGTGTTTAATGATGTTGAGCACCTTTTTCATGTTTATTGGTTATTTGGATACTTCTTTTGTAAAGTTCCTTTCATGTCTGTTACCTGTTTGTCTGCTTGGATGTCTGTGTTTTACATATTGAATTTTTAAAAATATTTATTTTTTAAATTCAAATATAATTAGCATAAGGTGTTATATTAGTTTCAGGTGTACATTATGGTGGTTCAACACCTCTATATATTACTCACTGCTCATCATGCTAAGTGTACTCTTTAATCCCCATCACCTATTTCACCCATCCCCCACCCACCTCCACTCTGGTAACCATCAGTTTGTTCTCTATAGTTAAGAGTCTGTTTCTTGGTTTACCTATCTCTCTTTTTTCTGTTTGTTCATTTGTTTTGTTTCTTAAATTCCACATATGAGTGAAAACATATGATATTTGTCTTTCTCTGACTGACTTTTTTCACTTAGAATTATAGTCTCTCTCTCCATCCATGTTGCAAATGGCAAGATTTCATTCTTTTTATGGCTGAATAATATTCCATTATGTGTGTGTGTTTGTATGTGTGTGTATCACATCTTCTTTATCCATTCATCACTTGATGGACACATGGGCTGTTTCCATAATTTGGTTATTATAAATAATGCTGCAGTAAACATAGGGGTGCATATATCCTTTTGAATTAGTGCTTTTGTATTCTTTGGGTAAATACCCAGTAGTGTGGTTACCGGATCATAGGGTAGTTCTATTTTTAATTTTTTGAGGAACCTCCATAATGTTTTCCACAGTGGCTTCACCAGCTTGTATTCCCACCAACAGTGCATAAGGTTTCTTTCTCTCCAGATCCTCGCTAACAACTGTTGTTTCTTGTGTTTTTGATTTTAGCCATTCTGACAGGTGTGAGGTGATATTTCATTGTAGTTTTGATTTGCATTTCCCTGATGATGAGTGATATTGAGCATCTTTCCATGTGTTGGCCATCTGTATGTCTTCTTTGGAGAAATGTCTGTTCATGTCTTCTACCCATTTTTTAATTGGTTTATTTGGGGTTTTTTATTGTTGAGTTGTATAAGTTCTTTATATATTTTGGATACTAACCCTTTATTTGATATGTCATTTGCAAATATCTTCTCCCAGTCCATAGGCTGCCAACTTCAATCCTTTTGAATTTGTTGAGACTTGTTTTGTGGCCTAATGTGATCTATTCTGGAGAATGTTCCATATGCACTTGAAAAGAATGTGTGTTCCACTGTTTTTGGATGGAATGTTCTAAATATATCTTTTAGATCCATCTGGTCTAATGTGTCATTCAAAGCCACTGTTTCCTTGTTGATTTTCTGTCTGGATAATCTATCCATTGATGTAAGTGGGGTGTTAAAGTCCCCTACTGTTATTGTATTACTATTGATTTCTTCCTTCATATCTATTAATAGTTGCTTTATGTATTTGGGTGCTCCCATGTTAATGTCTAAATATTTACAATTGTTTTACCTTCTTGTTGGATTGTTCCTTTTATCATTATGTAATGTCCTCATTGTCCCTTGTTACAGCCTTTGTTTTAAAGTCTATTTTGTCTGATATAAGTATTTCTACCCCAGCTTTTATTTTTTCACTTCCATTTGCATGATAAATGTTTTTCCATACCTTCACTTTAAATCTGCATGTGTCTTTAGGTCTGGAATGAGTCTCTTGTACACAGCATATAAATAGGTCTTGCTTTTGTATCCATTTCATCACCCCATGTCTTTTGATTGAAGTTTTTTAGTCCATTTACATTCATAGTAATTATTGATAGGTATGCACTTATGACCATTTTCTTACTTGTTTTATGATTGATTTTGTAGTTCTTCTTTGTTCCTTTCTTGTTCTGTTCCTTTGTGGTTTGATGGCCTTCTTCAGTGATATGCTTGAATATCTTTCTTTTTATTTTTTGCATTTCTATTACAGGTTTTTGATTTGTAGTTACCATTAGGTTTATATATAATATCTTATGCATATAGCAATCTATATTAGTTTGCTCGTTGCTTAAGTTTGAACCCATTCTAAAAGCACTAAATTTGGGGCACCTGGGTGGCTCAGTCATTAAGCGTCTGCCTTTGGCTCAGGTCATGATCCCAGGGTCCTGGCATCGAGCCCCATGTTGGGCTCCCTGCTCAGCAGGAAGCCTGCTTCTCCCTCTCCCATGCCCCCTGCTTGTGTTCCCTCTCTCACTGTCTCTCTCTCTGTCAAATAAATAAATAAAATATTTAGAAAAAAAATAAAGCACTAAATTTTTACCCTGCCCTACATTTTATATATATAATATCATACTTTACGTCCTTTTATTTTGTGAATCTCTTGACTGATTTTTATAGCTATAATTGATTTTACTGCTTTTGTGATTTAACCTCCATGCTGGGTCTTTTTGTTTGTTTTTTTAAAGATTTTATTTTTTATTTATTTATTTGACAGAGAGAGCCACAGCGAGAGAGGGAACACAAGCAGGGGGAGTGGGAGAGGGAGAAGCAGGCTTCCCGCTGAGCAGGGAGCCCGACGCGGGGCTTGATCGCAGGACCCCGGGATCATGATCTGAGCCAAAGGCAGACGCTTAATGACTGAGCCACCCAGGCGCCCCCATACTGGTTTTATAAGTGATTAATCTACTACTTTTGTTATGTTTGTATACACTTGTGAAATATTTTCCTTTCCTAATTTTCTTGCTCTTGATTATGGCCTTTCCTTTCTAAAGAATTCCTTTTAACATTTCTTGTGAGGCTAGTTTAGTGGTGAGGAACTCCTTTAACTTTTGTTTGTCTGGGAAACTATCTTTCCTTCTATTCTGAATGATAGCCTTGCTGTATAGAGTATTTTTGGTTGCAGGTTTTTTCTTCTCAGCACTTTGAATCACTCCCTTCTGGCCTGCAAAGTTTCTGCTGAAAATTCAGCTGATAACTTTATGGAGTTTCCCTAGTATATAACTGTTTTCTCTTGCTGCTTTTAAAGTTCTCTCTTTACCACTATTTTTTGCCATTTTCATTATTATATGTCTTGGTGCGGACTTCCTTGGGTTGATTTTGTTGGGGACTCTCTGTGTCTCTGGATTTGTTTCCTTTCCCAAATTAGGGAATTTTTCAGCTATTATATCTTCTAATAAATTTTCTGCGCCCTTTTCTCTCTCTTCTTCTGGGATCCCTGTAATGCTATTGTTATTATACTTGATGGTGTCACTGAGTTCCCTTAACCTATTCTCATTTTTTATTATTCTTTTTTCTTTCTCCTATTCAGCTTAGTTGCTTTCCATTACTGTCTTTCAGCCTGCTGATCTGTTCTTCTGCTTCCTGTAGTCTACTTATTTACTCTAAAGTGTTTTTAATTTCAGTTATTGAGTTCTTCATCTCTGGTTCTTTTTTATATTTTCTATCTCTTTGTTGAAGTTCTCACTGAGATCCACTGATGGTAAAAATGTCAAAGTTAAGCCACTCTGGTTTTTAAAGCCAAATGTTATGGAGATTTGTCTTCACAGTGCTGGTTCCCTATGTCTAGGGTGCCTGGTACGAGGTCTAGTCCTCTCCCTTGTCTGTGCTTGTGGTGTCCCTCCCATTTGTCATTAGTCTTCCTGGGAGTTTGGTTCCAACCACATCTCTGCCTTCCTACCATTTTTTTTTTCAGTGTAACCTCTTCTCTTCAATTAACTGTGGAGGGTCTATGCTACCAGTCTTCAGGTCATTTTCTGAGTTAGTTACACTGATGTGTGGATGTATATAGGTGTATCTATGGGACAAGGTGAGCTTAGGATCCTCCTACTTCACCATCTTCCCTGGAAGTCCATGTTGAATATTTTATTTATTGTCTTTTATCTATAGTTTTTTATGTATTCTGGATACACATCCATTGCAGGTTTTATAAATTGTAAATATCTCACTGTGTATTTTGCCTTTTCACTTGTATTTTATCTTCTTTTTTTTTTGACAGAGAAAATATTTTTAAAATTATTCAGTCCATTTGGTGTATTTCAAAAGGTATAGCACTTTTCTTCATTTATCAGTGAAAGAAGTTAGAAGTGAACTTCAAAAAAATATCAGCAAATGGCAAACAAATTTCCTTGAAAATCACAGTCACATATATAGCACATCCTAGAAAAGAGGAGGGGTAAAACAGGTTCCACCCACTTTCATGAGTTTCATCAAGTACTGGACCTACTCAAGGGTGGAGAGCAAGGCAACTTTCAAAGTATGTTATTGAGGCATTTACTATACTCCTTCCTAAGAGCACCAGTTGGGGAATAAGTGTTCTAAACTAGATCTAGGAAGTGGAATGTGAAATCAATCCATCCTCCTCCCCTTAAGGGCTGTCCAATGGTTCATGAATTTAAAAAACATTACTAAATGAAAACAACCCCCCCACACACACACACTCTCTCTCTCCACCAAAAAAGAAAAAAAAAAACCCAACCTAGATGTTCCATGTTATTCTCCAGTGTAGGTGGAGCCTGGGAGCAGCTTCAACAACACAAATCAGTCTATTACAGAGTCATCACAAGCACGCCTTGCTTTTAAACAAAAAAATACTTTTGAAATGACAAAACAAAAACCAGTACTAATCACTTTTCTGACAATACACAATTATTCAGATTAACTAGTATTGAGGGGGGAGGGGGACCATATCCATAGATCTTGTCTCACATGAGTGTATGTGGGTAGGTGCAGGGCATTGGTCATTACTGCAAAAACAAATTTTAATTTTTCATCTTTAGTTTGATTTAACATTACTTTTAGTACGATGCTGACACCAGCTGTGCAGAAGGACTCTGGAGAGATGTTCATAGCAGTGTACACCTGTGGCTCTCTGGTTCTGGAGGCTCCAGGCAGCCAGTATTGCCTGGTCAAATACATTCTTTAAGGCTTTCTGTGCTAGTGCAGAATACTCCACATACTTGACCACCTTCAGGTCATGGGCCAGCTTTTCAGCAGTCTCTGGAGTGACAGGCTTCTGTTTGTTCTTGGCAAGTTTCTCAATCATAGAGGACTCATCTCTAAGATCAATTCGGGTCCTGACCAGCAAGAAAGGAGTCTTTGGACAGTGGTGAGTTATCTCAGGCACCCACTTTTCCTTCACATTTTCAGATGAGGATGGAGAGACCACTGAAAAACAGACTAGAAATACATCTGTTGGTGGATAACTCAGTGGTCGTACTCTGTCATAATCCTCTTGCCCTATAGTGTCAGAAAGTCCAACAGCGTACGGCTCTCCACCAATCATAACTGTGACTGCATAGTTGTCAAAAACAGTCAGCACAGGGGCACCTAGGTGGCTGTCAGTTGTTAGGCATATGCCTTTGGTTTGGGTCATGATCTCTGGGTCCTGGGATTGAGCTCCCTTTCAGCTGGAGTCTGTTCTCCCTCTGCCTCTGCTACTCCCCTATGCTCATGCGAGAGCTCGTGCTCTCTCTCTCTCTCTCTCTCTCTCTCTCTCTCTCTTGGATACATAAATAAAATCTTAAAAAAAAAAAAACAGTACATACTCAGATGGAAATTTGTTCATTGTGTAGAATATCAGAAGACACATTTTACCACAGCACCATCATCCACAACAATGCACTTTGATTGTCTCCACTTTAAATATTTCAAGTTTGATGGTGACCTCAGCTTCCCTGCCAGGATGCTGGCAGCAGTGCACAGGGTCTCCTGTTGTATTTTATCTTCTGATGAACAAAAGTTTCCCTTTCACATGTAATTGAATTAGTCAATCTTTTCTTTTATAGTTAGAGTGTTTGGGGGCTTGTTTGAGAAATCCTTGCATACACTAGGGTCATGAAAACTTTTCCTATTTTATCTTCTGGGAGTTTTGTTATTTTCCTTTCACATTTAGATCTATAATCCACTCAGAATTGATTTTTCTATATGATATGGAATAAGGGTCACTATTTTGTTTCTTTTTTTTATATTCAGTTAGCAAACATATAGTACATCATTAGTTTTTGATGTAGTGTTCAATGATTCATTGATTGTGTATAACACCCAGTGCTCATCACAACACATGCCCTCCTTAATACCCATCACCCGTCTACCCCCTCCCCCCACCCTCCTCCCTTCTGTAACTGTCTGTTTCTAAATGGATATTCAGCACTATTTATTGACAAGATGATCCTTTCCCTACTTTAATGTAAGGCCAACTAAATGTGTTGCATATATCTGGGCTTTTCATTCTTTTTGTTCTTTTTCTTTGGTCTATTTTTTGGTCCATAGCTTTAATATGTCTTGGTATCTGAAGCGTAAATCCTCCAAATTTGTTTTATTTCCTTAGACTTCTCTTGGCTATTCTTGGTGATGTCCTTTTTGTCATTAAAAATATCTGTTATTTGTGCTTTCTCTCCTTTTTTCCTTTGTCGGTCTTAATGCAGGCATTTACCACTTTTGTTAGTCTTCCAAAACCCAACATTGGCTGTATTCATTTTATTTAAAGTTTGTTTTTCACTTTAGTAATTTCTGCTTTTGTCCTTATTATTTTTCTTCTCCTTTTGGGGGTTTTAATTTGCTGTTCTTTTCGAACTTCTTGAGATAGAACCTTGGGTTATTGATCTTTTCATCTTTTCTACTATATGTGTTTAAGGGTGTAAATTTCCCTCTGAGTACACCTTTGCAAGTTTTAATATGTAATATTATTATTGTTACTCAATTCAAAATATATTCTAATTTCCAGTGTGGTTTTTTTTTGGACACATAATTTATTTAGAGAGGGATTCTTTAATTTCCAAACTTAGAGGATTTTTCTAGTATCTCTTCCTATTGATTTCTAGCTTAATCTCATACCCTATTTTAAACAGTTATTTGTACCAATCATCTTTATTATTCTAATAATTTTTAAATTATATGAACCTTAATTGTGAAATATTATTTTATAACCATCATTATGGGAACATCTCTTTTACCAGTGTTAAAGAAATACTATTCATTCTCTGTGTCTGCCAATTGACTGCTTGTTGTTTAGCAGGTATCATTATGCCTTATTTCTCTTTAATAATTTGAAATTATGATATTTAAAAAATGTTATCTTTTTCTGCTTCTTTTGTTTTGAAGGAGGAGAAGTTGACTTCAGTGAGCTGGATAATGTCCTGCAAAAAATGGGGATAGAGCCCTCACATAAAGAACACTTGGAGCTAAATAAGTCACTTCCAGTTAATGGTGGGCATTTCAACTATCAGAATCGTCTTCAAGAGAGTTCATATTGCCTGCAACAGAGTTAATATAGTCATAAAGGGAGTTTTTCAGAATTGCAAGTATCGGGTAGAATCTTCAGGGAATTAGGGTTATATCCTTAAATTATTTTATTATCGAATACTCTGCTTATTTCAGATCATTTATAAGTTAGAGTTTAAAAATAGCCATAATTTTAAGGGTGATTATTTTTAATATATAGGAATACATAAATTTCCATTTAAAACATGTAAATCAAGAGGCTCATCAATCATAATTCTTGCCATTTAGAATAAGGAATATTAATAGTTATTTTTCATTCCATTGAGATGCCTTTGGTTAAGACCTCTAGGAAACAGGAGGAGGAGGAGGAGAGATGTAGAGCTATAATAGGAGAGGGAAAAAAGGTGGACTCAGAAAAAATACAACATATGGAAGTGTTTTGCTTTGGCATGGTAGGTATTAATAATTGTCTCAGGTGCTAAAGAAATGATAGATTTACCATATATATTAAGAATTTTGTTTACACTTTTTAATATTTCTAGAAGATATTAGGTAAATTTTAGGAGCAAATTATATTATGCTCTATATTTCTGAACTTAGATATTTGGTATTATTTTAGCATGTCTAGATATTTTCTCTATGACCTAAATTATGTGTTTCTTCCATCTACAGCTAGTATAAATGTATATAAAAATAGGTTGCTGACTTGTCCAAAAGATATAATAGGTGAGTAAGATGCAAATTGAGAAGTCAGATTGAGACTCTTGTGTTTTGCCTTTTTTCTTATTAAATATTGCTTCCTGCCATTCTCACATATATTTCCATAATTAGTTTTAATATATATGTTTGTATTGATGAAATAATTTTGTTTTATATTTAAAAGATGTTCTAAATATTTAGGTTTACCTCAACTTTGGATGTGGAAATAATAAAATGTAGGCCTAGCTATAAAAGTTTAAGATAGTATATCTTGAAATACAGTGACCAAACTCAACTTGATTTGTATAGATATTTATATGAAAAACTGTTAGATTTGCTGTTTTGCTGCCAAAATTAACCTGAATGGTTTCTCAGCCCTATTTCAATGTATTGTTATGCAAGCTTATCTTCAATATTAGATGTATCAGATATAAATGAATGGATTAATTTTAGTCCATTAATGACTCTCTTTAAACACTTAAATGTCCTTAACCTCTTTTTACAATGAAATTAATAACTACTATACATAGGAATTAATATTATATTTTGACTTTTATTTTAATTTCCTCAGGTCTTTCTTTTTTTATAGGGTTGCAGGTTGATGACCATGACCTTGACTCTATTCTTGAAAACATGGCAATCAAACTTACAGCTGAGGAACTTAATGATCTTACTCCAACTCTACCAGTTGATGGTGAGTGATTTAGGTATCATTGTACCTTCCTGAAAAGGAAGGTACCTTCCTGAAAATTTGGGTTTTGAGGCTGATATTTTTTATAGGACTTATGTAGCTGAAATAAGAATGATTTTTTCTCTTAATATAATAATCTAAAGTTGGTACTTTTTCACTATTCATTTATTCAGCAAATATTTACTGAGCACTGTATGTCAGGTGTTATGCTAAGCGCTAGAGATAGAATGGTGAATAAAAATAAACATAGTCCTTGACCTAAGGAGCTTAATGTCTAGTATATCACAATTCTTAGTATTCTAGTTGAAGCTGAGAATGTTGCTTTCACAGGAACAAGGGCTACAGGGTTTCAGCCAAAATGTATGACATTTTTCCTAGTTATATATAGGCCATATCCTTGGACCAGATTTCATGATTCAAGGTCAGAATTATAGATATTAAAGAAAATATTAATTAGGATTGAAGTGTGATGAATCACAGAGTAATCCCCACTTTAAATAAACTGAAATAGAATATGTTTAGCTGGGCACAATCCAATGAGATCAAGAAATATCACCTAGAAACATTTTACTGAATACTGCCTCTTACACGTAAATATGTTTTTTTCATATGATTCAAATGCTATTTAGTTATATCTTTGCCATGGGTTTCCATACCCTTCTAATAGGGTGAGGTTTTTTTCCAAAAGATATTTTTTATTAAATCATTCCTTAATTTTCTAGTACTGTTGTGTACCAATGAAAAATATGTAGTTTTTTATTTGCTTATTTTCTTTATGCTTTTAAGTTTTATTGGGATATCAGGAAAAGATAATTAGGTGAAGCTATCAATAATTGCCAGATAAGGTAATTTTTAGCTTCTCACCTAGTTTAGTTAGTTTAGAAACTCACCTGGGGATGTCAGATAAAAGGCAGAGTAAGAGCCACCAAAAAACTCTCTCTTCCATAAAAGCAGTGAGAAAACTGGCAAAAATTATCAAAATTAACATTTTTAGGACTGGACATTAACCAAAGGTTTGCTGCAATCTGAGGAGCATTTTTTAAGAAAAAAAGACTGAATCTCTGTAAGAGTAGTAGGCTCTGTGATGTTTTAACTTGCCATATTCCCATCCCCTGTCTTACAGCTCCATAATAGTCTTGAAAAATAACACTCTATATTTGCAGTGAAAACTAGTAGCCTGGAAGCCACTGGAGGGAACAGTGGGGAGGCTGGAGCTCTTTCAAAGCCTTATTCCCTAAGAATTGTCATTATCTGGTCTGTTTGGTGGTTCTTTGGAGTGAGGCTTTATATCTGTCACCCTTCATGTATGAATTAATGAATGGAGAATTAATGAGTGTGGAAAGATGAATCAAGAGATGAACTGAAATAAGCAGAAAAGAATAAGAAAAAAATAATTATTTGGAGTAATAAAGAACTAATAGCTATTGCTGCAATGGTAGAGTAATAATTAGTCACCAGCCATTCTGAAAGGGACACTGATTAAAGAGAAGAACAGAAAGTACATTAGTAAAAGATGTGAGATGAGAATTCTGGTCTTTACTTAATTTTTTTTATTATGTTAATCACCATACATTACATCATTGGTTTTTGATGTAGTGTTCCATGATTCATTCTTTGCATATAACACCCAGTGCTCCATGCAGAACGTGCCCTCTTTAATACCCATCACCAGGCTAACCCATCCCTCCACCCCCCTCCCCTCTAGAACCCTCAGTTTGGTTTTCAGAGTCCATCGTCTCTCATGGTTCATCTCCCCCTCCGATTTCCCCGCCTTCATTCTTCCTCTCCTGCTATCTTCTTTTTTTTTTTCTTAATATATAATGTATTATTTGTTTCAGAGGTACAGGTCTGTGATTCAACAGTCTTTCACCATTCACATCGCTCACCATAGCACATACCCTCCCCAATGTCTGTCACCCAGCCACCCCATCTCTCCCACCCTCCACCACTCCAACAACCCTCAGTTTGTTTCCTGAGATTAAGAATTCCTCATATCAGTGAGGTCATATGATAGATGTCTTTCTCTGATCGACTTATTTCGCTCAGCGTAATACCCTCCCGTTCCATCCACGTCATTGCAAATGGCAAGATTTCATTCTTTTTGGTCTTTACTTCTTTTACTCTTGGTACCTGCATGAGTTTTGTGTCCCTGCCAGAACTGAAAGTTTCCAGAGAAAACATGGACAGCATGAATTGCCCGAAGAGTCTATTTTGCTAATACAGACTGAATCCTAGAAAGCCTGAAATTAAGAATTGAAAATGCACTCAAATTAAATAGTGGAAATACTGGACTCTGCCTGGAGTTTTTTCACAGCATAGATACTTTATGTTTTTATTCTAAAGCTCTGTCTTTTTCTGGATCCCAACTTAGCCTTTTTTTTTTTTTTTTTTAACAGCTAATGGGAAGTTTGGTGTCAGTATCTTAACAGATGGAATGGATGGAGTAAAAGCTATTAGAGGTAACATCTTAGAATAACACCTAAGAGTAAGGTGCTACTAGAAATCTGAGAACCAAATTATTTTCACTAAGTAATATAATGCTCTTTCCACATCATGATTATATGGACTTTAAAAATCTCTCCCTACACTTCTTTAAAAAAATGTTTATATATAAATGCGTACAGTTAGATGCTGGATTATCAGAACTTTTAGCAATAAAACTTCAGTGCTCTTTGTTGTTTCCAAAGTCATTATCTAGAGTCTTTGCCAATAATTAGCATATCTTCTTTCATGACAGGAAAGCTAAATTCCAGTTCAACACAGTAAACAGTGAAGGAAAATTTTGGTAAAGTTAGAGGTAATCTCAAAATAAAGCAATAAAAATGCTGATAAAACTATTTAGATCAGCAATCTGTATCATTCTAATTTCCTGCAAAGTTTATACTTGTAATTGCATGTTCTGTTGCCTTGCCTATCATTTGGAGATTATATTAGACTTAACAAGAAAGTTTATCTGAAGACCCAAAGGCCCATTTGTTTGGTTGGGTCTCTTTTCATCCAGCAGTTGGCTGTAATGCTGCAAAGACAATTTTTTTTTATTTTATTTATTTTTTAAGACAATTTTTTTTAATTATATGGAATCATGACATCATTCACAATAATGCCAGAAGTCTTCATTTCTTTTGCTTTGAAGGAAAGGTTGATGTCAATGACTTGAAAAAAGTTCCAGGAAACATGGGGAGAGAACTCAAAGATAAGAAACATGGGGAGTTGGTGAACAATCTGCCAATCAATGGTGAGAATTTCTGTAACAATTCTATTTCCTATCTAAGTAAAAATGAAAGAATGTCCAAAAAAATCTTTAAAAGGCATTACTGTTTTATCTTAAGAAGAAATACCAACTGTGTCATCTCATTTTTAGTTTGTGAATCAGTTGGCTCTTGTCAGAAATCCTGTGACCATGGATGAGAAATGCTGGCTATTATTCTTGAATCCATTGTGAGTCCTAAAGTTTAAAATGAGAATTAAGAGAAAAATGGAGGCATTGAAAAGTATTCAATGGAAATAAATGAGAAATCACAAAGAATAAATGAATGGGGAGTGTTCAGCATGCTAGAGGCCCAGCAATAGAGGCCCATAATGAAGAGTGGCTTATTTTTTCCATTTCACATATTTTTTAAAATTATTGAGAGTACAGTTGTACTTTAGGGATATATAAAGTCTGACTCTGAAATGATGGCTTGTCTGTTGCCTTAATGAATCTTCATATCATTTTGGCGAGATTTTGATTTGTATCTTTCTTAAAGCTGATAGAAAGATCTATCAGAATAGGCTAATGGATGGCACGAAGGCCTTTTTTTTAGTTTCTTTATTTTTAATTGAAGTATAGTTGACATACAATATTAGTTTCAGGTGTACAACATAGTGATTCAACAATTACACACATTACAGAACTACTCACTGTGTTAAATGTAGATATCATCTGTCATCACACAAAGTTATTACAATATTATTGACTATATTCCCTATGCTATGCTCTTCATCCCTGTGATTTATTTTCTTTATAACTGGAAGCTTGTACCTCTTAATCTCCACCTGTTTCACCTATCCTTCACCCACCTCTACTCTGGCAACCACCAGTTCTCTATATATTTGAGTCTGTTGTTATTTGTTTGTTTTATTTTTTAGATTCCATATGTAAGCAAAATCATATGGTATTTGTAGTTCTCTGTCTCACTTATTTCACTTAGCATAATACCCTCCAGGTCCATCCGTGTTGTCATTAATGACAAGATTTCATTCTTTTTTATGGCTGAATAGTATTCCATCATGTATATATACCCCATCTTCTTTATGCATTCATCTACCAATGGACACCTAGTCTGCTTCCATACTTCGCTATTGTACAAAATCTGCAGTGAACATAGTACACGTATATCTTTTCAAATTAGTGTTTTCATTTTTTTCTCATAAATACCCAGAAGTGGACTTACTAGATCATATGGTACTTCTATTTTTAGTTTTTTTTATTATGTTGTGTTAATCACCATACATTACATCATTAATTTTTGATGTAGTGTTCCACGATCCATTGTTTGTGCATAACACCCAGTGCTCCACGCAGAACGTGCCCTCTTTAATACCCATCACCGGACTAACCCATCCCCCTACCCCCTCCCCTCTAGAACCTTCAGTTTGTTTCTAAGAGACCATAGTCTATCGTGGTTCGTCTCCCCCTCCAATTTTCCCCCCTTCATTCTTCCCTTCCTGCTATCTTCTTCTTTTTTTTTAAACATATAATGTATTATTTGTTTCAGAGGTACAGGTCTGTGATTAAACAGTCTTACACATTTCACAGTGCTCACCATAGCACATACCCTCCCCAATGTCTATCACCCAGCCACCCCATCTGTCCCACCCCCCACCACTCCAGCAACCCTCAGTTTGTTTCCTGAGATTAAGAATTCCTCATATCAGGCGCCTGGGTGGCTCAGTTGGTTAAGCGACTGCCTTTGGCTCAGGTCATGATCCTGGAGTCCTGGGATAGAGTCCCACATCAGGCTCCCTGCTCAGCAGGGAGTCTGCTTCTCCCTCTGACCCTCTTCCCTCTCATGCTCTCTATCTCTCATTCTCTCTCTCTCAAATAAATAAATCTTAAAAAAAAAACGAATTCCTCATATCAGTGAGATCATATGATACATGTCTTTCTCTGATTGACTTATTCTGTTCAGCATAATACCCTCCAGTTCCATCCACGTCGTTGCAAATGGCAAGATTTCGTTCCTTTTGATGGCTGCATAATATTCCATTGTGTGTGCGTGTGTGTGTGTGTGTGTGTGTGTGTATAGATATAGATATAGATATAGATATCTATATATATACATACCACGTCTTCTTTATCCATTCACCTGTCAATGGACGTCTTGGCTCTTTCCACAGTTTGGCTATCGTGGACATTGCTGCTATAAACATTGGGGTGCACATACCCCTTTGGATCCCTACATTTGTATCTTTGGGGTAAATACCCAGAAGTACAATTGCTGGATCATACAGTAGCTCTATTTTCAACTTTTTGAGGAACCCCCATACTGTTTTCCAGAATGGCTGCATCAATTTACATTCCCACCAATAGTACACAATGGTTCACTTTTCTCCTCATCTTCACCAACACTTATTATTTCTTATTTTTTTGATACTAGCCATTCTGATGGTGTGAAGTAATACCTCATTTTGGTTTTGATTTGCATTTCCCTGACAATGAGTGATGCTGAGCATCTTTTCATGTGTCTGTTGGCCATCTGTATGTCTTTTTTGGAAAAGTGTCTATTCAGGTCCTCTGCCCATTTTTAAATTAGATTATTTGCTTTTTTGGTATTCAGTTGTATGAGTTCTTTATATATTTTGGATTTTAACCCCTTACTAGATACATCATTTACTAATGTCTTCTCCCATTCATTAGGTTGTCTTCATGTTTTGTTGATAGTTTCTTTTGCTGTGCAATAAAGGTCTTTAGGAGAAGGAAGGGAAAAATGAAGGGGGGGGAATCAGAGGAAGAGATGAACCATGAGAGACTATGGACTCCAAGAAACAAACTGAGGGTTTTAGAGGGGAGGGGGGGTAGGGGGATGGATTAGCCTGGTGATGGGTATTGAGGGCACATACTGCATGGAGCACTGCGCGTTATATGAAAACAATGAATCGTGGATCACTACATCAAAAACTAATGATGTATTGTATGGTGACTAACATTAACATAATAAAATTAAATTAAATTTAAAAAATAAAGAAAAAAGACATAAGATATTAAATTTTGATACTTGCCACCTTTCAAATACTTTGATAGCACATTTATGCTTCTTTTAATCCATCTGTACTTTTGTGGACAATCTACATTATATCTTGGGGGATGGAGTTCCATAATTTATAGAAGGTTTACAATTTGTGGCAAAAAAGAAAATAAGTCTAGTCTGAAGAGTGATTAATAAACAAAAAATTAGGGTGCCTAGCTGGCTAAGTTGGTTAAGCATCTGCCTTTGGCTCAGGTCATGATCTCAGGGTCCTGGGATCAAGCCCCACATTGGGCTTCCTGCTCAGCTGGGAGTCTGCTTCTCCCTCTGCCTCTGCCCCTGCCTGCTCTCGTACTCTCTCTCTCTCACTCTGTCGCTCTCAAATAAATAAATAAATAAAATATTTTTAAAAAATAAAAAATTAGTAATGGTTAGGGAAATTTACTCAGAAAAAGAAAAATTTCCCTGGGTATCATCAACAACAACAACAAAAAATCACACTTATTAGATGGAAGTATGAAATTTGTTATCTCCACAACTGTATTTCACTGAGCAGTTCATCAATTTCCTTTAATACTTTCTGCTATATGGATTGATCAAGGGAAGAGATTTTATTCTAACTCTATTATTGAACATCTTTTAAATATCAAAGAATTTAGTTAGCTATTGTCTTTATGCTAAAACTTATAACTATACAGGAATTAATAGTTTGGGTCCCATTTAAGAGTCACTAAATTTTGGTCTTTTTCTCTCAATTTCCTAAGGAGGTGGGGATGATTAATATCAACAAATTGTACACTTTTCTGGAAAACAGGCTGAACCTCATAGAAAAGGAATTTAAAAATCTGAGACTGAACATGCAAGTTAACACTGAGCATTTAATATAGCATTGAGCCACTCAGGAAGTCTTGGGTTTATGAAGTGATGGAAAGAATCTCTAAAGCTACTAATTTGGCACCAAGAAGACATTTTAAAAAATCACAGAAGAACACATCTCTAAATAGAAATAAATGCTATCCTAAAACCTTATGTTAAAATTTATTATATCAGCAACTTCTTTCACTGTGAATCATAAGCAATGCTGAGGTTTCTAAAGGCTACAAAAGACAAGAGAAAATTCAGGGAAAAGAAAAAAGCTGGGGACAGGGAGAGTGCAAATAAAATGAAAAAACCTTAAATGGAGAAATCAAATAAATGTAGGTCTACACAGCAAACACTGAAGTGAAGGATTAGCAATTGATCAGCTGAAATGATCTGGGAATTCAGGCAAATGAGAAGTACTACTTGTTCTTGTTTGGAACAATGTGATCTGTGGTCCAACAGCTCTAGGTGCTTAGGCACATTTTGCTTAGGCATATTTTGCTATCTCCAGTTGTCCTAAGATAAGGTAAAAGGAAATAGGTTCTAGTTTTATCCATCCTGTTAAATTTTTCTGAATAATTAGAAAAGTCAAATGACTCTTGATAGTCCTATTTAAAGTGTTAAATGATAATACAAAGACATGAATTATATTTTCTCTTTTTTTAAATCATTAACACAGGCTAATTAAATCAATAATACAAAGATGTGGTATATATACACAATGGAATATTATGCAGCCATCAAAAGGAATGAGATCTTGCCATTTGCAATGACGTGGATGGAACTGGAGGGTGTTATGCTGAGTGAAATAAGTCAATCAGAGAAAGACATGTATCATATGACCTCACTGATATGAGGAATTCTTAATCTCAGGAAACAAACTGAATATT